TGGTCTGCCTGAAGATGACATCAGTTCTCCCAAAAATCTTACAGGCGAAAATGACGGACATGTCCCTAACGTAAGCCTGCCAAACGTAAACAAGGCTAAGGCTGTGCTGAACCGTCACAATGGGACATTATTCCCAACCCAAGAGGCAAGAGCAAGAGGTATCAAGCCTTGAACACATATATCATGTTATTCCTCGCCATCTCAGAAATGTGTTAAGGGAAGGTTTGGATGCAAATTCCTCTTTTTTGAGATGCATCTCATTTTGCTTTTTTATAGTCTTCGGAGATGTACTGAAATGGTATGGAGATGTGATTTGATTTTTTGTTGGGTTCAAACAAAGTGGGCTACGACTTTTCCTTGTAATTTGCCTTAAAATTTTAAGGTGGGTGTTCCTCTATTTGGAATAAAATTTGGGGTTAAAAAATTCAGAGGTTCATCAAAAGAAGAACTTCTTCGTTGATCACTCATCATATTGTCTAATTCTTGTTAGGGATCCAATTCTGGTGCTCCATTTGAAGAATTTTGAAGTTTTTAACTACATCAAGCTGGGTCTCTCTAAAATGTAGACAAATTTCTAACCCGATTCCACAGTGGATATGCTATGTGCAAATGTTATGTGCACAAAGACTACAGGCATACTATGGGGTGCAAGTTGGTCGGGCTGAATCAGGTTTAAGCTCAACATAGTCCCAACCCTAATAATTGGGCCTAAGACCAGATCCTAAGGTTAATCCTGATTTGTCTAACCCACACTGAAATCTGATGCAATTAGGTTAGGTTCGGGCTGGATTTAGACTGCCTAAGGGTTATGCTTGGGCTCAACCAGAAAATAAACAAGTCTGAACTTTGCGCCAAGACCTAGCTGAAAAACCAAAAATTGAAACCCACCAAATATAAAATGCGGCTCGCCCAAATTGGACCGCTGAACCATACACTAGGAATATCTCCCCTTGTAAATTATCATTCATGATACTATAATGTTGCATAGAAGTTTTTTTTTATTTTACTTTTTTAGTATTATATAACACACACATACTTTTTAGGGAGAGCCTTGATCTCCTAAAAGTAGAAACATTAAGGATATGTAATCCAGCCGCACATCAAGAATATCTCCTTTACATGTGTGTTAAATTCATATATGATCCCAACGTTACAATTGGATGCTCCTGCTTTCATAGTATTTGCAAAGCTTGAGCCCCCCTTGTAAAGATGATAGTATCTCTTGCAGCTAAAATCTCTCCACACATTCTGCAAACATAGGCATCCAATCACATTAGGAACATCTCCCTATGAATTTGATGTGTTGGCTTGGGAGATATTCCCAATCTGTGGTTGGATGCCATGTTCAAAGAGTTCATTCATGGATGAGGACAAAGGAGGGTGGTGCACTGTAAAGCATCGACTAGGAATAATGAATGTTGTAGTGGATATGAGAACAAATGCTCTTCTTTGTTTGCATTCTTTTCTTTTATTTTAGACATCTAGTCAATAATATTGTGCTTAAACAATTAAAATTAAGGTAAATGTCTTGAACTACCCCCTAAGTTTTAGGAAATTGATCAACTCTACCCCTATTGTTTAGAATTTGCCTTAAAAGTACCCCTAAGTTTTTTGACAATGATTAAATCATCCCTTATTGTTAGCATTCCATCACAATCTGTTCACATATGATAGCACGTGATATAAATAATTCTTTTAAAACTCAATGTTACCCTTTTAAAACTCATGTGATATTGAAGCATATGGGCATGGAACTAGTAACAGCTAAGATGGCATCCTTAAAATCTAGTTTTTGAGTGGGAGGTGATCCCTCCTATTCACCTGTTCATATTAAGGTATTTGTAGCAATAGAAAAAGAAAAACTTTGCCAATGGACAAGGTGTTATTGTCAAATCAAGACCAACAAGATATTATTCAAATGTTTCGTTTAAAGATTTAAAGAAGAATGATGGGTAATATAATTTTTTTCATCCTTCTGTTACCGAATGCTATGGTAAGGGAAAATTTACTCAATTATAAAAAATCTTGGCGGTACTTTAAGGCAATTTCTAAACAATAAGAATGAATACATCAATTTCCTAAAACTTAAGAATAATTTAAGAGATTTACCCTTAAAAATTATTGAAATAGGATCTTACACCAACAAAAAAGGTTCCAACACCTTACCAACATGATCTGTACACATCTCACCACAAGATTGGAATCCATCATAAAAGTGAGACTTGTCATATATGAGATCTGACTCAAAATGACCAACATGAACAAGCTAGGTAGATATTGATCTCATAGAGCAGTCAGATTAGAAAAGAAATTTGGACAATTTGGGCAGGCAGAACTATACTTTATGGTTCCTTGGGCACCTCCTATATGGTTAGGAAGCAGTTTTCAGTCCAAAGGCATTACCAAATTTGAGTGTTTCTTTAATTAATCATTTAATCTATAGCCAAACTTAGAAGAAAAACAACTAAAAATGCTTTCACTGGCCAAACATGTCCATTACAAACAAATACTAATGCTTCTAACCGTAAACAGAAAATATGATATTCCCTGCCGTGCTTATTACTCATTCTCTTGAGATTTAAGAGAAGGTATATTAAGTTTTCTCCAGACTCCAATCGACAGCTGGCCAATTTATAAACAGATACTTAACAGACAATCCCACCTGTATCTAGGGTATCAATTGGACTAGATTTGGTCCAATCCGGTCCAGTCCAATGTGAGTCCATTACAAATGAACCTGGTCCAATTCAGTCCAATGAATATTTTAGACCATTTTAAACCGGTCCAGAGATTGTTCAATCTGTTCAAATTCTTGTTAATTTAGATTGGTTTCAACTCAAACCTGATCCATTGACACCTATGTTCTAACCTTTTATCAATGGATCATATATTGGCTCAATCCAATATAAATTCATTATGGACGGACCAGGTCCAATCCAATATGTCATATTGGTCCATCCAAATTCAATGTCTTATTGGTCCGTCCAATCTGTCCACATGGATTTTGATTTGGACGGAGTCCAACCCAAAACCGGTCCATTGACACATCTACCTGTATCTGCCACGTGGCAAATCTTATAGCTGATCCATACCGTCAATCAGATAGGACCTTAACCTTCTAAACCTTACCTCCATAAATGTATGATCCGTCCAGATTCCATGATTAAAACTTAATTATTATTTGATCTATTTCCTTGCCTTGCATTCGCGTCATACGTGTCCTTCAAATGGGTGACTTTTTTTATTTATTTCATCTTTTTATTTTATCAATTATTTATATCTCATCAAAAAGTTGGACGGTGACAAGATATATAATACTCTGTCTTCCCTAACTCCAAGCCGTTAGATGTGAGATCAACGGTTCCAGGCATCGTTCATGTTAGGTCATTATTCCTCATAATAGTCGGCTGTCGTTATTACTTCATTTGACCTTTCTTAGTTTCGAGTACCCATCTACTTTTCTCTCCCAAATTCCGTTCTCTCCATTCTTCTTCTTCTTCTTCTTCTTCTTCTTCTTCTTCTTCTTCTGTGAGTTGCTCCGATATGTTTGATTGTCTTCCTCTCTGCGAGTAGGCCGACATGTTCCGTCTAAGCGACAATCTCGTCCTGGAATCTAATGGCTTCCCCTGGCTAGTCTGGCTACATCTCTTGGTAATGTTTCTCCTCATCGTTTTGCTTTCTTATTTGGGCGTCCTTGCTTTCGATGTTCCGGCCAACGGGGCGGCGCCGAGGTTGGTGCCGGTGAGCGATCTATTCACAAGTAAAGATTATCAGACGGAGGAGCCAGTCAAGAACAATATTAGCTGTGCCACGACGAATCGCTTTGATGATAACAAGGTGCGCTTGCTTATTTTCTTCATCTTTCTTTCCTTGAACCATGCCAGGAAATAATTCACCAGTAACCATTAACCAATGTATGTAATTGGGGAGGAATTTTTTCCAACTATTTAGATCTTTTCTCAGCACCAGTATCCATTCAAAGAGATGGATTTTTGTTTGTTTTTTTTTTTATTTTTTTTATTCATGAGATGAGGCTATACACAACGGGAGTAGTTCATCCCCATCCCCTTAACCCCCAACCCTGGTGGCAGCGGGATTTGATCTCAGGTCTCTGTTACAGCCTACAACGAGACAGATATTCTACCAACTAAGCCACCCTCAGTTGGCAAGAGGTGGAAAAATGTTGGTGGCCAACCCAGCCGTCCATGAAACGCGTAAATTGACTGCCTTGTTAATTAATTGCTTCAGGTTAAGCTAAGCTTCCAAACGATAATGTGGAAAAAAATTGCCACGTGGCAAGTTTCGTTAGAAAAAGAGGTTTGTAGGCCACCACATACGAGTTGCCACTCACGGGGCTGGCTGGCTCTGGTGGAAGCCTTCAAGCAAGCTTTGAAATGCCTTCAACTTGAAGCATACTCATAATCAAATTAAAACCCTTCATTAGCTTAACAATCAATTTTAATGCCAAACCCATCTGCAATTCTGCAGCCGGAAACTTCTATGAAGATAGAGCGGGTTGATTCCATGTGAAAATATTCGGTCAGATTTGTTTTATAAATTAAAAAATTCACTATTTCAGGGTTAGTGGACAAGCAACTTTTCTGCAATTACACAGACAAGATAAAAATGGTGTAGGAGACGGTTAATTAATTGGATCCGAGACTAATCATCCTTGATGGGTTACAGTCGCAGATGTCTATTTTTCAAGGAATCGTGTATATTTTCGTAGTAGAACCCTGAAACTCAATGAGAATCCAAGCTGTTGATGAGTAAAGCAAGGGGATTTCATATCCAGGTGTTGGGCTGGCTCTGGCTGGGACATTCTAAGCCATACATACAATGAGGTTTGTTTGTGTATTAACCAGGGGAAAGCATGTTCTGAGTTACAAGTTGAAAATTGAAAGCGATGTTGAGATATAAAGTGGTGGTCCTGGTGGAGCTGGGATTCTGGGATTCATGGAAGCATAGATTAGAGAGAGAGAGAGAGAGAGAGAGGGGTAACTTCATAGGATTCCTACCCTAGACTCTATTAGTCCTTCAACAATTGGCTTCACTTCAGAAGTTCAGATGTTCATGCGACTATAATGAGTTCCACTCGTGACTCGTCTATACTTCAACTCGTGAGTCGTGACACTGGACCAATCACAATATATGGGTCCCATCACATGAGGCTGACTAGGCCCAAGCCCGGATCCACTGCTTCCTTGGCTGTGTATCGAATGGCCCTGATGGGGCCCATATTGGCATGTCTGATTAGCATAGACCGTTCGACCTTTACGATCAAAGAAACAATAAGGAATGCAAACGTGCAGCTCTTGTCATCTTTTGTGTGCAACAGCCTTTTTCTCAGGAGTCACTGGTTATTGGACCAAAATAGATAAAAAAAAAAAACCCATGAATCGTATAAAGTTTTGTTTGCACAGAAACTTTTAGTTGTCTCTATTCTCTGACTCTGATATCTGTATCAACCGACAAAGCTACAATCAACCTTTTTTTCTCCCTACTTTTGTCCTTTTAGCGAATGGGAAAAGCATTTTAAATACAAGGTACAAGGCTTGGTCTTGGTGAAAATGTAAAATCTTTTTCTTTGCATGGTTTTGTGGCAAATCAGTCCTCTCTAAGGTTGTCTGGTTTGATGATTTGATCGCTATCTAATATTCTGCCTTCCTTTAATTTTGTTGATGTATGACAAATAATGTTATGAGTTCTACCATTGCAGTTGAGGGAAGACCAAACAAGTACTAAAGGCGGAATCGTAAGCATAAGAAGTATAAGAACAGAAAGACAAGAAGCAGAGATACAGGAAGCGGAGGATAGTTTAACCAAGAAAGTAGCACAGAGGACAATAGCTCAATGTTCTTATGGCCCATGCTATTACCTACAACAAGCAGCAAAGGTTTTCCTTAAGTGCCTCGGTCTTGACTCTACCTCTCAGGGTTCTTCATCAGCAGAGCTAGAGTCAAAACACGATGTTAGGCATGAAGATACTGTACCCAACTCCATTGGGCCAATGCCAGAAGCCAAGCCCAGTAAGCCTGCAGAAGGCGCCCATGTTCCAATATCAAGATAGTAGCTAACCTTGTAATTTGTTCATTTTCTCAAATGAGTTATTGTGTGTTTATTATATAATAAAATTTTCTACCTTATCTATACGTATAATATCGTTAAAACCGAGGTCCGAGGAAGGACGAGAGAAATGTGGAAGAATAGTCAGTTACCTTTCTCCCTTCTTTATATGGGCCCCACTATGTATGTAGGGCCAGGCGTGTTGGTTCTGGGCAATGCAAAGACATGTGGAGGCCTAATCCACGGGTGACTTCAGGCCCAACCTTGGCCCAACTTGCAATCTCAGACACATGGTGTTTCATCTTTCATGTCCAAGTTCAATGAGCACACCAAACGTATAATTATGAAGGTTTCTTTCCTCTTCATCAGAACTTTCAAAAGGAGAAGTTGATGTTGACGACGCCTTTAGTGCACCTAATTAACCGATTTTCCTTTTGGGACACTTCTGTTCGTGGTTAAGCTCATAAAAAAAGAAGGTTTTATAGTTTTATGGACGATAACAAAGCCACGATAGACGTTAAAGATAATCTTTGGCTCAGTTTGGAAAGAGTATAAATTTGTATTTGTACTGTGCAAATACATATAAAATAATATAAAATACGAGGTTTTGCATTCTACAAATTTGTATTTGTACTTCTTCCAAACTAGGCTCAGTTTGGAAAAAGGGCAAATAGAAATATGTTCAAAGCTTTTGCACCGACTAGATTTGTATTTTCACTTTTCCCAAAAACAGCATTAATTTATGTATTCAAATTTATGTATTTTTTTATTATTAATGAGATGTAGATATCAAAATTCAAATATGATTACATAAACATCTCATCCAAAAGAATTGTATGAGCCAATGAAGTGAACAGTAGTAATTCAATTTATAATTTAAAACTTATAATTAAATAGGGGCTATATTAAAAAAAATGATTCTTTTAGCCAAAAGAAAGTTTCACAATCTTATTCATATTTATAATAGTAGTGTAAATATAGAATTATAGATATGTTTCATTTTTTCTTTAATTTGTTTTTCTATTTTTGTGTGTAAAAATAATTATGATATGTCACACTTACCTTTTGTTTAATATGATAAATATATGACATTTTAAATGTGCCTTAATGTTTTTTTTGCAAAATTTATATATATATATATTTTAATTTTATTATTTATTTATGACATTAAAGGTTAACACAATTAACCCAAAAGTTGAACTATTTATTATTAATTTTTATATTTTATTTTTGGTTAGTTCTAAATTATGTATTTTATTTTCATTATCAATAAAAATAAATCTTGTTTATTACACTTATTTTTTTAATTTGATTAATAAAAATATCATAAATGTGTTTTTTTCTCTATATTTTTGTAATTTTCTATATTTATTTCTATTTTAAAATTTTTATTACCTAACTATATATGACTTCATATATTGATCAATTTGATTCGAATGGTTGAATTAGCCACCACTTGGAGTTGTTTTTAGTCAATTTTAAAATATATGAATTTATATTGTTAAAATATTGATATAGATCTAATTAGCAGCATTTATTAGTGAAAAATAATACAAATATAGGATTTAATAAGAGAAAAATAAGATTTAATACTTTAAGTATAAGACTTAATGAGAGAGGATTAAATAATGTGAAAAGTAATGGATTAAATACATGAAATATGGGCATTCTAGTAGCTATTAAAGCTATATTAAAATAACCTTTACCCTTTCTGAAACAAAAAAAATAGAGGATAATTTTAGTCCAAAAAAATCTACACTTTTATATATAATATAGATTATTTTGCCTCATCATTTGACAACCATCTTATTAAATGACCTTTTATTTCATACATTTTGACCAAAACTAAGGATTTGTTTGATTCTCCATTGGAATTGGAATCCGAATCAGAATGGCCTAAAGCCTATTCCCCCTGACAAAGATGGAGGGAGGGAGATTTGACATCGAGATAAAGAGAAATATGGTTTGGGGAGTCACTTGTCTTTTTTTATTGGTTGGAACGGTATTCTTATTCTTAGGAGGCCAGAATGGCCATTCCCTCAAATGGGGGAATGCCATTTTCAGGAATAAAAGTCAGATTTGGATTTGTCTAACTAAACAACGTGGGCCATTATGATTCGGATTACAGACTCTTATTCCCATGAATCAAATGGATCCTAAAATCTAATAACTCTCCTTGATATCAGTAACTTCAACATATGATACAATATACAAGCAATCTAGCCCAGCTGGGAGTATTTACCCTCAACAAACGCTCCTCAAGAGAGGCAGCTAGAAGCATAGAAGAAAGAAATGTACCATCTTGCACAACCAATTTAAACTCATCTGAGATTGATAAAAGTCCAAGTGTCCAACTATGAATATATAGATTTAAGCGCCAAAACAAAGGAAAAAAAAAAAAAAAACCTATGCATAGATTAGAGGTATTGGTGCACAAGGAAAAAAAACTTTATAAATAAATCATACACTGAGAGAAGCTCTGACAACCGTCGGGTCTGAAATCTGAATTTAAGTGTAATTGTAATTTCGTCCAACCAAACAGTTGGCTAATTTTGCACCCCTGTTCCCGCAAATTATCATTTGAATCATAAATCTCAAACAAAATAGTTAAAATATAATTAATTACATAGGTGTTAATTAACTAGTCTAGAAATTATTGGCGAATTTACTGGCCCAATCCTTACAAGCTCTACTACTGATTGCTCACATGTTCCTTATCTAAAAAGCCAGTCTTGATTTTCTTGAATTTTCTACAAGCCATTTTGCTTTACAGCACGAAGAAACGACGTTCATCTTGGATTCTTAGTCATGAAATGATATATTGGAAAACGTTCTGAAACGGAAAGAAGTTTCTAACACGCTTTGCCAAACATCAGTCAGCATGGTCTGGAACCTGAAGTCTATACACAAGTCTCCAACGATATAATTGTATTTATATAGCTTCACGTTAAAGGCATCACATATGTAATTGCCACTTGGGTTGCGTTAGGGGTGAAGCCCCCTAGGCCCTAGTGCACTGTATGTCCAAGATCACAGATTCAGTTTTAGGTTCCAGGGTTTAAAACTAAAATGAAGAGGTGGTAGGATGTATGTCCTCCAACGGGTAAGAGCCAATTATTGCCCTATGAAAAATATGTAAATGATTCGGATTTCAACAATTTGGGCCAATTGTGTATCTGCACTAATAAAAAAATAAAATTTATATAATGCTTTATATAAAGATTAGTTCTAGTTTGGACCTATGTGATGCATGGGTTTTGTTAAAAGAAATTGAAATAAAAATAATTCTATTTCTTTTTTTTTTTTTGAATGAAACCCTATAACATTCTTAATTGAGCTGAATCGGTACAAATAAGGGTGCAACTTGGTAGGTTAGGTCGAGTTGAAGGCCAACCTAGGCCCAACCCTAAAGATGCAATTCTCAAGCTCAACCCTAACCCAATCTAAGGTTAAGCCCCAAGATTATCGACGAAGCCCAACCTTAATCGAACAAATCTCAATTCGGACTCGGATTCAAGCTGGGTTAGGTCAGGCTTAGTCAAGCTTGGGCGGGTTGGTTAGGCTTGAAAGAATTTATGAATATATTTTTGTCTGGGCATCCTTTATTATAACTCGGATTAGATGCACATGATGACTGCGTCATGAATTGTGGGACCAATGATAATATCACACTCCACTCACTAGGGTCCTATATAATTTAGGATTGGTGTGATGTATGTTATCATTAGTTCGACAACTTGTTGAACAATTATTGTATTCAATTAATCATATCTCCTTTTATTGGCCTAATTTAGGAGTAGAATTGATTGAAACATATACAAATTTCATTTATAAATGTACACATACATATTTTATATTTATATAAATCTATATATAATTAGAAAAAAAAAGATATTTTATATAAAAAAATGTATGTATATGTGGTTTTTTAGGTGGGCTCAAGTTGGGTTGGGCTTAAACTATTTGACGCCTTAACCCAAGCCCAACCTAGTATTAGGTTATGCTTGTTATTTAGCCTAGGCCCAACCCATAAACCCAAAAACTTACGCCCAACCAGTGCAAAAATTCATGTTTGATTGGGTTAGGCTTGAGTAATTTAGCTTAGGCCCAACTCATTACCCAAAAACTTACGCCCAACCAGTGCAAAAACTCATGATTGATTGGGTCAGGCTCGGGTTGGGCCTGCCCAGGACCTAGGTCCAAGAGTAACTCAAAACATTATTTTATGGATTATGTCTAGTCAACCTAACTGCAATTCAACTTGCACCTTAGGCTCAGTTTGGATGCAAAATCTTATTTTTTGTATTATTTTGTATGTATTTGCACCATATATATTTGTATTTGTACTCCTTCCAAACTGAGCCTATGTATTTGCACAGTACATATTTGCATTTGTACTCTTTCCAAACTAAGCTTTAGGTTCAGGTTGGAAGGAGTACAAATACAAATATGTACAGTGAAAATACAAATAAAATATAAGATTTTGTATTCTACATATTTGTATTTATACCCCTTTAAAGGGGTATAAATACAAATATATACAGCATAAATACATACAAAATATAAGGTTTTGTACTCTACATTTTGTATTTGTACTTGTTCCAAATGGAGCCTTAGTGAGAGTGTCCAGATTTTTTATATTTTTAAATGGAATTTATTGTATGGGTATAAAAAAATGAGATACCCATTTATTGTATGGGTGATTTAAAACAGGTCAAATTTAACCCATTACGATTATCTTCTTTGGCCAATCGTTAATAGGGTTCAATAGAACCCAAATTTTGAAAATTTATTTTTCTGGATGGGTTGAACCTGAATATCCTCATAGGTTATATCCTAACCTTTATGAGCATTGAGTTACCAATCTAATGGGAGGAAAAATGCAAAAAGTACAAGAATGTGAAGTTGAGCGATTTTGTAATATGAGATATACTCATATACATGAAGATAAAAAATAAGAGGGAGTTTAGGCAACTTTACCTATCCATTACGATTTGTTTCATTTTCTATTTGCTAAAGGTGCAGTTGTCCACGCCAATGTCAGTTGGATCTCAGAGGGGATGGGATATCATATGGAAAGGGGCCGATGGGCCAGCATAATTGAGCTTAGGGTTGAGGGCGTCCTTGTTTCAGGCCTTTCTGGGTTGAACAAGTCCCAGGTAACAATTCCAATCAGTTGGATCTCAGAACTCAGATGAGAAATTTCCATTTTTTAGGATATGTTTAATGGGCTTTTCTGAGTTGGACTTGATTTCTTGTCGAGACTGATGGGTGGGGAGTCTGCTGACGGAACTCTGGATCACTGTCATATACCCAGGAACTATAAGCCCAAGAAGCCCGAGTCGTTGCTAAAATTGTGCTCTTTTTATGGGGCAAAGGCCAATGTGTCACTGGGCCCAATCCAGGCTGTTGAATTTGATGGGGAAATGAGCAACCACTGTGAATATTTTATATGAGACTCGTCATAATAAAATGCAAGTGGCTAAACAGAGCTGTAAATGCAAAGGTGGAGACCAGAAGCTTACATGTGATCAAGCAACACTTACAGAGTTTACTACATAAACTTGATACACGAGACAATCCCCATGAGCATGTTCTGGCTGCTGGCAACTGCATCCTTTAATTATTTCCTCTGTCATCAACCCCCAAACTCGATGAACAGCTTTGGATTTGGAATCATTAGTGGGGTTGTTTCAGATCATTTATCAGGGAATTCAATAAGCGATGAGGATTGAAGGCGAAGCGGAAAGGTTCGACAATCGACAACTACAAAAATGGGTTCAGAACACTTGGAACATGAGTCGTCTGGTTTCATACGCCTAAAAAAATGTGGAAAATGAAGATGAAGATGATGAAGAACCCGAAGCGGAAAGATTCGACCAAAACTTGTCCTGACGCGACTCGATATTGCGGATGGTGTAGTTACTATTTACTAGTCAGTAGGTTGATACAGCAACTGTGTTTCACCTTCACCCGAGACCCAAGAACCCAGTATCCCAGATTAACAAGAAAACCGAATCTTACTCTGCTTCCAATGACTATTGTTCCTAGTCGAGATCCGGCTTCATCTGAATGACTGAATCCGTAAGACCAAGATCAGAAACAAGAGGAATACTAGCGCCACTGTCTGATTTCACGGGCCCCATGTGCATGGAGCTGAAATGGAGTAAAACAGTAGAATGGTAGTTGCTGACTTGCTGTCTCTGGTAGAGGGCTACCGAAAAAGGGCTAAGCTGAAAACAGGAAGAAAGATTTCGAAAGAAATCAGAATACAGGAATGCATTTGACCAACTGAAACTCTGAACGTCATCTACCTCTACCCCGCTGGAATCCACTTCCTTCATGTCTTGTTCTCTTGTCTCTGTTTCTTCGAAAGAATAAACGATGGAAAAGAAATGCGAGATATAGAAATTGCATTAATTTCACATGCATTTATCAGGGTATGTTTATGGAGTCCGTAAGACCCACCCCACCAGGCACCAGCCATGTCTGACGATGGTACAGTGAGACTATCTTAATGGCGTAGGATTCTTTATATATGTTTCTTAAATTAAAACTTTGGTAATTTAATGGGTTGGTGTTAGGTAACGTTCCCTGACGACTTGTCTTTGGAACGAGCTTATTGTTTTTATTTGTACGAAAATACCCCTTTAATTAAATTAAAGTTCAAATATAGAATAATGTTCAAGTTCTCTCGGTAGTCAGTACTGTTTAATAGGACATTCAAAACCCATGGAAAAGGGCAGTCCATACTGCATAGTTTGTTTTGAAGGACAAGCTCTCGCAGTTTCTGCATTTGTCTGCTTGCTTATGCAGTTATGCATCCCCATTGTGCAGTATACAATACACATAAAGCAATTCTTAGATGGTTTGGATTACCAAATACCAGCGACTGATAGGAAAGGGTACTTTGGTCATACTAAAGAGGCAAGGTCAAATTCGGTAGATGACTGAAGACCAAGGACAGTTTTTCAGATACTGAGAAAAAACCCCAGCTCATCTACTCTTCATTTATTATAAAAGTTGCAGGTGAACCAAGAAAGTGTCCCAAAAACCGAACAGCCATTAAAGGAGGCAAGAGAAGCAAATAGAAGAAAGAAGAAGAAGAAGAAGAAGAAGAAGAAGAAGAGATCGGAGGAAGGGATGGAGAAGTTTTCCTCTGCGAGAGTGGTGGCACAGAGCGCCATAGTAGCTTATTATTCTTACAGTCATCAGAGACCTTGCTGCTACCTTCAACAAGCTCTAAGGGCGATCTCTAAGTGCGTAGGTCTCGACTCTTCTTCCAAGCCTCCTCCACAACCACACAAAGAAGCAAATAAGGCTTGTCAAACAGGTTCCCAGGATCCCCCTTCAGCAACAGACCGAGGATTAGATCCTCCTTCAACAACAGAACAAGGAACCAAAGCCACTGTAAGTCTTCCCTCTCTCTCTCTCTCTCTCTCTCTCAGTTAAGCAAACCATGCATTAATTAGTTCATCTTCTTTCGTCCAGGAGGATGCAGCGGCGACACCCCAAACTATAGAAACTTCTGCGCTGACCAGACGTTCGGCTAGACCACCACCGGTAAACCGTGGATCAGGCGGCCAGACAAACTAGCTATCCCCTACAAACTTCGGTGTCTTGTTGCTTTAGTAGGGAATGTTTAGCGTGAATCTAGACTGGTTGCATACTTTTCCGTTGTTTTTATATGTCTCCCAATCTGTGTATTACATATTTACATGTACACTGCAAATGATAACACGTATAGATATGTATGAAATCATGACCGACTTTACAGAGAATCAATCCAAACTCCAAAGCCATGCATATATTTTGTAAAAACTAAACGGTCCGATTCACGGTGAATGATAGGGCCACGCCTCCTTGTTTCTGAAAACCATTTTACTTTCCGATGATGAGGTGGCCCGCTTTTAACATCCACCGTGAATCGGGATCGGGCGGTTTCCTCTTTTGCAATACAATTGTGCTTTGATTTCTATTGGACTATGGGGGTGTGTAATTTTATGCTTCAAATTCAAAATCTTTTGTATGGTAGCCGAAGTGGGCCGGATCGTCGTCCAAATAATACGAATTTTGGTGCCTAATCAATCCAATCGGTGCCTAAGCATTTGAAAAACAGCTCCCATCCATGAGAGCCCGTTGCTTTCTAGCCATTTTCCTTACTGGGCTGGAGGCAACCAAGTGGACTGGCAGGCGAGGGAATTTGAGCTATTTGGATTCTAGAATGATGAGTCCACAATTCTTTTCTCCCGTTTCTTTTTTCCAGATTTACTTATGTGGGCGTTTATAGACGGCATGTTTTTCAGATAAACGTTTAATTGAAAAACATTACTTTAAACATCGACTGTTTTTTGTTGTTTTTTAATATTTATTTGATAAATGTTGAAACAAAACAATGATTTCATGCGCAATAAACTCTTACATTATCTTGATGTAGTGATATTTTTTCAATAAATGCTTACAGAACCAAACATGACCTTAATGAGCCCAATCAACCGGACAGACTCCATCCCATGGATTGGTTTATGAGTCTGTTTGAATCATGGACCGGATCCGGATGGTAGGTCTAAAATGCCTCCAGGCTGGGATTTGTGATTAAAATATCTGAGCTACCTTCCTGATTTTGATCCCAGAAGCAATACTTCTGAATATCCCACATCACATTTTATGGGACCCACACATTGTTTAGCCACTTTAGTTCAACTTTCAGAATCTACGAGGTCAAGACTAGGCCTACCCCATTCCAATCTGGCCCAACCATTAAGAGGTCTAGTAAGGCATAAATTTAATGGCCCAGTTTATGAGCCAGGTTAGGATTTGACTGTTGTCAAAATTTGAACAAATTAATTCAATCTAAAACTCAAGCCCGAAATAGTGTAAAGTCAGGGCTAAAGCCCGGCCCATGAACAGGTGATGATGATGTTCAATTCAACTCTTTGAACACTGGCCGGCCGGCCGGCCTTTTTAGCACCTTCCGATTTTGGGCTTTATAGCTCTTTTCGTCCATTTGTCACTTGTCAGGCTTAAATTGCCCATAATTCTATGAAGAATTTGTTCGCTTTAATTTCTCCGGGTTCTTTCATTTGTCCCCGGGTTCTTGTCTTTCTCCGTGATAGCAGAATCTCAGTCTTACATCCATATCCCCCATTCTCATACTTTTATTTATTATAGATTTATTATTCTTAACTACCAAGAGAGATGTGGTTGAGAAGGACACAAAAATAATAAATAACTAAATAAAATTAAAAGAACAATTTGAAAAATGGAGCAGGTAAAGTTGTTGTCAGCACTTGGCAACTCAGCAGGTGACTAGAATTGCAGCGTTGGTAGGACGGCTAATTGGTCAAATCCAGGCCTGGTCAAGGTAAATCTAGTCCCAGCCCGAAAAGTAAACACAAAAACCTGGTCCAGAGTCCAGATCCAGATCCTACAAAGTTTATAAGTACACTACCCAGTACTAATTCTATTATTAATACAACTTATTGGGTTTGACCTGTGTTATATATATACATATATATATATATATATATATATATATATAAATTGAATCTGAATAGGTAAAATCAGTGTTGAGCAAGTTTCATAGTATTGATACCCTTAGACTGTCATAATCCAATCCAACTTATCGGGTTTGACCGGTTATATGTTAAAAAACTTTTTAGTATTATCTATCTATCTATCCATATAAATTTCTGCTCATTTTATTCCTCATTTTGATCCTATTATTGAGTGGGTTTATTGGGTTTGACCAGGTTTAGATAATTGGCTTGGTCCTAATTGAATCTGAATAGGTTGAATAGGTAAAATCAGTCTTGAGCATGTTTCAAAGTATTGATACCTTTATACAGTGTTTGGTTTAAAGGAAAAGGTAGGGAAATCTATACAAAATTTGTATAGGTTTCCCTAGATAAAAAGTAGTAACCAATAAATCGGAATTATAAAATTGATAACCAATCAGGAGGCGTTTTATCAAAATTCATTGGAGGTTTTGATCGGTCAAAGCCTTTTTGGTCATCCGGTGTCATGTCTTTGGAGCATGATAGATTTTTCTTTTTTTAATAAAATACGGGAAGTGCTACAGAAAACAGGGGTAGCACACAACCCCATGAACCACATAAACAAAAAAAACTAAGATCCCAAGGGGTACACTCAAGGCATTTCGAGCTAACCAATCTAGCGCTTGATTTGCTTCTCAATACACATGTAGTTGAACTGGCAGCAAACACTAAGATACTCTGCAATGATAGTCTTCAGTCTCTACGGGGACTTCATGGTCTTTCTTAGGCAGTCAATGACAAGCTTTGGATCACCTTCAATAATGATTGGGAAATCCTTGAAGTTGATAGATGTGTTGATCGCTTTCCAAACTGCTCAAGCTTCAGCTAAATTGATAGATGTGATACCAATACAATACACTTTGAGATTAAGAATTGAGCCAAGGTGGTTCCTGGTAATACATGCTATAGAGCACCAGATCAGCATTGCAAGAGGCATCAAAATTGATTTTATTGACCTAGGTTTGGGATTTATCCACTTCATAGACTTCCAAACTTTCAAATTATCATTTTCCTTATTCTCTAAAGTCGTAGGCTATATTTTATTTGAAGGAAAAGGTAAGGAAACCTATGACAGGTTTGTAAAGGTTTCCCTACCTTTCCCTACTTTTTCCTTCAAACCAAACACAACCTTAATGTTTCTCAAATAGTTAATAGCTCCTTCAAAAATAATCTGAGGGATAGGTTTATTATTGAAACAATTATCACTCCTTTTTTTTTTCAAATGAACCATAGAAAAATAGGAGAATGACGGTTCAGCCCAGGGTTAGAATTTTTAGGCCCAAAGTACAGTTGGGGAAGGTGCCAGCTTGGAATTGATGTCAATTCACAAGCAAGCATTGATGCATAAAGTGGAGGTTTTTGACATTTTGAATGTTTATAAGTCTTCAGTGAAATTTAAAAATCTGCATTGAGCCTATCCGTACTTTTCCATAGAAAAATTGCCAATTTTTCTTTGTACAAATGATCATAAATTGTTGAATAAAATACACCAATCTCTCACTATCAAATCCAAATCACTAGGGGCTGATAGGTCATCATTCAAAGTCATCCAAATTTGATTGGAGAGATTACATCTGAGGAATAAATGGTCAATATTTTCCTCTTCTCGACAATGGCTACAACTACCATATATATTAAGACCTCTTGCCCTAAGTTTATTTTTGGTAGCTTGCCACTGATAACTAGGAAGATAAAAACCTTAATCTTTGGGGGAACTTTCAGATTCCAAACATTTTTTAACAATTTATCCATATGATCATTACCCCCAATACCTCGGCATTCCTCATTATACGTTGTTTAGACAGAGAAATTACCAACAGAGGCAAAATTCTAAACTAATTTATCATCAGATTGACCCGAAGGGATTAACCCAAACCAATTTAGCATGATAGGTTTTCCCAAATAACATTTTGGTACACTCAATCGATACCGAAAAAATCGGCTAAAAGCATTGATGCTATATTTTCCATCATTTCATACCATCACCAATCACCACTATTTAAACTTGACAATGTCAAAAGTCCCGTGATGTTTGGGGTGCATTTGAGTTAAGCTGAGCAAAAAAAAAAAAAGGGTTTGAATTTGAATTCAAACTAGATTTGAATTAGAGATATGGACTCAAATTTGGCCTGATTTAATAGATAGTATTGATGTCGCGCAATGTGTATGCTCCCTCGTATATTGTGATTCAGACTCTGACTGGATATCAAGTTAGTTGGGCTGAGCTATGTGGCTGAGCTGATGTCTGGATGTTCGAGTTGAAACGAGCTGCAAGGGAAGGAATGTGAGAGTGCCCGGGAAGTTTTTTACCCAGGAGGGCACTCCAATGCTTAAATCATCAATGGGTGAATAGGGATTTCTTTGAGAGTGTGAAGAGCTTGAGTGTACGAGTGCATGTACCTCCCCAGGTGATTCCGGACGCCTTATATAGGCCTCTAAACTCTGGGGGCTCAAGATAACAATCTTGAGCTTTTTGTAGAACTGTTTCCTTATTTTCATGCGCATTAAGGTGTCAATTGAGGGATCCTCGCGGGAGTTACGATTCGTCCAAGTGAAGTCAAGGCGCGCGACATGGCAAGTCGTTCTAACGGTCGCGCTATTGGCGCCTTTGGCAACGAACCATTGGAGACAGTTAGTGAGCTATTCCTCATAAGCCGCCTTCAGGTCTCTCAGCTCGGTCGGTTCCCAGAACAAGTCGTTGCAATCTTACGGGGTCTGCCAGCTTGGCCTTGCCGAGGTGATGGTCGGCCCGAGCAAGGTGGAGGTCGGCCTGGGCGAGGTGCTCCAAGCTAACTTACCGAGCTGTTCTACTGACTCAACACCAACATATTATCAGGAAGCCACGTGTCGCTTTTTGTATGGGAGGACCAAATTACCCCTCATCAATTATGTTCAAGCTAGACTCAATTGACTAGAATAAAATAAATCTATGATGCCAAAAAGACATAATACCAAAAGAGTTTATCATACATGGAGGCTGGTGGCTGGACTTAGCCATGGTCCAAGTTATGACCATTCTAAAATTTAGATGGTTGAAAATGTCATTTGACAAAATTTTAATTTTGGCATAAAAGTTTATGTCGTTTTACTAGAACACCTCTATAGTTTTACATATTTACTTAGACATACATTATAATTTTATTTTACTAAAACACCCCTCATAATTTGCAACCTTTTTACTTAATGAACCTTTGGTTAAGAATTATTTCTTTTGCTATCTAAAAGCAGTAACATGATCACCTAAACAAAGTGGAAAATGTTCAAGGGCATGACCTCATTATTGTTTATTCCAAAAGTACCCCTAACACTTCTTTCTATAGAAAACAAAATTGACCAAATAGAGTCGTTGCTCATGTCTTACTAGGGGCAAAAATGGCATTTTCTTTTTTATTTTCTTTGATTAAATTTACTCAAATGAACTTTAGGATAAAAACTATCATTTTCCACTTTCATCTAATGGAAGGTCAATTAATAAGTTAATTGATCAATTGACTAGGGCTGTCAAGAACTTTTTTACTTCATGCCACATCTTGAAGGAATTCAACTCAACTTTCATTGCTCTAATTCCAAAAATTAGGAATCCTTCTCAAGGCTCTCATTTTAGGCCCATAAGTCTCTACAACACCACTCACAAAATCATTGCAAAAATCCTAGTCAATAGGCTTAAGCCCCTCCTTCAGAAGCTCATAGGTACAAAGAAAAGTGTTTTCACTCCAAGTAGAGTAATAAATGATATTAGCTTGATTGCTCATGAAATTATAGACTATTAAAAAGAGCAAATCTAAGAAGGCTAACATGGTCTTGAAGTTAGATATGAGCAAAGCTTATGATAGACTTGAATGGGCTTTCTTGGAAAAAGTGTTAAAAAGATTGGGATTTGGGGATTCCTACGTTAAGTGGCTCATGGAATGTGTCACTACTGTCTCTTACAAGCTTATTATCAATGGCTCCCCTAGTCGAAGTTTTAAGCCTACGAGAGGGATCAAGCAAGGGGATCATCTATCTCCTTACCTCTTTCTACTTTGCTCTAAGGCTTTCTTTGCAAATATTGATCACTTGGTTTCTAACTCTCATCTGTCTAGTGTTAAGCTAAACAGGGAATGCCCTACTATTTCCAATTTGTTCTTTGCAAATGACAACTATATATTCTCTAGAGCAACTCTGGAGGAAAGCAATATACTTCTGGATACCATCCATGCCTATGAGAGAGCTTTAGGACAGCAGGTGGATCTTGTAAAATCGGAGGTCTTTTTTAGCCATGGTCTTCACCCAAGATTGCAAAAACTGTTAGCCAAGACTCTTCACATGAAGAGAGTGGAGCATCCCTTAATCTATTTAGGTCTCCCAACTGAAATTGGGAAATCAAAAAAGCAGTTATTCTCCCACCTGGTTGAGAGAGTAGGAGTTAGAACAAACGTTTGGAGTTATCTATTTCTAAATCAGGCAAGGAAAGAAGTTCTTATAAAATATGTAGTTTCAACTATTCCTGCCTATGCTATGTCATGCTTTCTAATCCCAAAGCAAGTGTGCAATGAATTGGATAAATTGCAAAGAAAATTCTAATGGGGTAGCAGCAATTCTAAGAAAAAGTTGAGTTGGGTAAAGTGGGAGAGTATTAGTAAAAACAAAGGGTTCAGATATCCCTATTGCTTCAACCTTGCTCTCCTAGCAAAGCTAGCTTGGAGACTTTGTGTAGAGGAGGAGAGTCTCTGGGCTGGAGTCATCAAAGCCAAATACCTTAAAAACAAAAGATTTCTCTTTTCAAGGCTCTCTAACAAAGTCTCTTGGGGCTGGTAGAGTCTGTTGGTTGAGAAGGAAGTCCTCCTAAAAGACATTTGTTAGTGTCTGCTCAGCTCTATAAAGTTAGGATCTGGGATGATCCTTGGCTTTCGAGTGTGGATGGGTTTAAAATAGTGGGACTAAGGCCAGCTGATCTAAACATTGTTTGGGTCAAGGACCTCATGGTAGAAGGGGGAAGAGTGTGGAATGCTCCTCTGATCCAATCAACATTTCCTCCAGCCACTGCAAACCTCATTCTAAAAATTAATCTTGCAAGAGGCCAATGGGAGGACAGGCTTTGCTGGACCCTAACCTCTAGTGGAAATTTGACTATTAAATCAACTTACTATGTGGCGAAACATTTAACTAATTTAAATGAGGGCGATGAGAGAGTTGTTCACATGAACAACAAACACTGGAAGGCTTTATGGACTATTCCAGTGGACTCCAAGATTAAAGTGTTTGTGTGGAAATGTTGTTTGGAGACTATTGCAGTCAAATCATCCTTGATCAAGAGAGGTATTGGAAGCTTTAATACCTACCCTGTCTGTGGGATTGAGCCTGAAACAGTGTTCTATGCCCTTTGCTCCAGCCAGCATGGTTTTCATCCTGGATTGATCTATGTTCTTCTGGGGCTGAAAGAAAACAAGAACTGTTACTTTGTTTTTTTCTTATCCTCTGGAATGTTTGGAAGGCTTCTAATACTTTATTCTTGAAGATATTAATATAAATCCTGCTCCTTTACTTTTGTCCATTAACAGATAGCTGAAAGTGAGGGTGAAGACTTTCCAACTAGGATGGAAAAAGTCTGCCCATCATCCTTAGTTCAACCAATCAGAATCTTTTTTGGTCTCCTCCAGAATCTGGTGCAGTTAAAGTCAACATTGATGGAGGTTTTTGTGCATCCAAATGGGCTAATTTTGGTGTTATAGTGCGTAACAGTGAAGGTCAAGCATTAGCAGCGTGTTTTGGTCATTGTAATGCTACTTCCCCCTCAATGGTTGAAGCTTGGGCTATTTTGAAAGATATTGATCCGATCAAAAGTTGTGGGTTTTCTTTTGTGTGAAAGGGAACTGTCTCACTCTCCTAAACCTTTTCACCAGGGCGAGTAGCAGTGTTCCAGCCGATATCCTTTTCTTGTTCAAGGACATGTAAGAGGAAATCCAAGGTTTAAATGTTCACTTTAATTTCATTAAAAAACAGATGAATCAGTTAGCCCATTATCTTGCTAAGAGAGGTCTGAGTGAGTCGATTTTCTTTGTGTTTAATTGTCCTCAATGGATTGTAACTCACTCCCTAGGACTTGTTGGGAAGGCATGTTGTTTTATTTCGTCCTTTTAATATATATCTCTTTATTAAAAAAAAAAAAAAAAAAAAAAAACCTATGCCATAGCTTTTTGCAAATCCATAAAACTAGGAGTATTTTAATAAATGACCCAAAAATTTCCTGGCATGGGACCTACTCTTTGTCAAGAAAACGAGGTGGAGTTGAGTTGACACATCTCGTGTAGAATTTCGTCTCATCAAGCACAGAAGCGCAGCTGGCGTCTTTGAGTTTTTACAACGCATGTATATATACCTACATATAATATGTTGGCCGCCGGCCTCTGAAACGAGGGAAGAGGAGGGAAAGAAGAAGAAAACTGTGAGGCAATCTGAAGACCCACCAACATGGAAGAAGAAAGGGATTCAGCTGATGAGGGAGGGACGATGATCTATAATTTACTCCGTCCATATCGCTTCCTTCAATCTGTTATAACTTCCTTACTAAACTGTCTTGGTTTTCATTCTGCCATTTCTACTGCCGAGCTTCTTCAATCTTCTTCTTCTTCACCAACGATTGAGGGTGCTCAAGAAAACAACCTTAGTTGCCCAGATTCTTTGGAAAAAGTACGGAAAAGTACTGTAACCACTGTCGTCAATAGTGTAAGCCTCCCTCCTCACTCTCTCTCTTTCTCTTTCTGACCCGTGTTATTCTGAATGTAATTACTTACTTTCTCTTTGTTACAGAGAGATGCAACAAATTTCATGATGCTTACAGTTGCGGATAGGAGGCCACAACCTCCACCAATAGAATCTGGTCGAGGCCCCCAAACTAACCACAACACTGCCACAGTGGCCGCCTAAGTCGAGCAGGTATGATTTTAATTTGGGGCAATCAGCTCTATGCGTATGGATGAAATTTAAAACATGTTAATTGTTACTCTGAAACTGCATCTGTAATATTAACTTTGTGTGTATGACAGTAACTTGTTTCTTTCTTGAATGAAATATTGAAAATGGTTGATGAACCTTTTCAGCTTAAAGACCAACCAGACAATTTTGGTAATCCATTTATTAGCTAGTACCCGTTTCTCTATTTAATACTGCCGTCTACTTTCAACCATCCTTCGTTTGAATTTAACGTCCCTGTTATATAGGCTAATTAAAGTTTGTTATAATACATTCAACGGTTTGTAATAATTAGGGGG